TTGGTCAGAGGGAGGAATTTGAGAATACTGACTGACGAGGCATGACTGAATGTGGGCAGGATCACTCCTGAGCATCCCTCAGTGGAGCTTGGGGTGCTTTGCTCCCTGGTTCTCTGGTGATCTCTGCGTGATGAAATGGGCTAGGAGAAGGTGAGGATGTAAGTGGCGTAAGACTTGTGAGGACAACTGGACATGCAGGAGAGTACATAGTCAGGTACTTTGCAGCAGTCCAGCAAAGATTTTCTGGAAGGCTCAAAGTTTGTTGTCATCTTCCTCGTAAAACCTATGTTGGATCCCTTGGAGGACGCCTGTGTGCTTTGTGAAGCGCTTTGGGGTTGAAATCACTTGTCTTCATGTTGACTTGAATGCTGCTTGTACTTGTAGTTCAGTATCTGGTGAGGTGCACTGAATGGGGAAGCTGAGTGCATCCAGGGAGTGTTGAATACTTATTTGAATGATGGAGTGGTGGGTGTGTCACTTCTGAAAAAGCAGTGTCTGGATCTGGAGGTTTATACCAATTACTGTCCAGACACTAATACTCCTTTTCTGGACAAGGTGCTTGATAGAATGGTGGCTGGGCCATTGCAGATGGTCTTGAAGGATATAAATTATTGTGATCCATTTCACTTTGATTTCAGGCCTAGTTCTGAGAGAGAATTTCCAGAGAGCCTTATGGCTAAAAGTCTAACAAATAATAATAAACAAATAAATGACATTGACTGCCCTGGGAGATGACCTCTTCTGAGAGAAGGGAAGATTTGGCTCTTTTGATCATGCTTGATGTTTCAGAAGCTTTTGATACTGTTGGCCATGGTTTGTTTTTGTTTGTTTGTTTTGGGGATTGTCTCCATGAGTTGGGAATGGGAGGCCTCTGTGCCACAGTTGCTCTGCTCCTACTTGTGAGGATAGTTTTAGAAAGGGGCACTGAAGAATTGAACTTCAGCTCCCTGGCAAGTATATTGCAAGGTGTTCTAACTTGTTCCACATGATACTGAACATCAATATGAAGCCCTTGGTGGCAGTCATTAGGAGTTGGGGGCAAGGTGCATCACTATGCTGATTACACTCAGCTCTGTTTATCTGTAACATCTGTCTTGGGCGAGACCATGCATGTTCTGTACCTGGCTTTTGCTGCACTGGTTGAAAGCCACCAGAGTCTGAATCTGGTCAGACAGAGGCTGCATGGGTAGATAGTTCTCAGGTATTGGAATAAGGCTGTTTGCCTGTTCTGGTAAGCTTACACCTGAAAGAACGGGTGCCTTGTCTGGGGGTGTTCCTGTGGCAAGGAGCACCTATTACCAACTCAGGCTGGTATGCCAGCTATGCCTTTTCCTGGCTAGGGATAGCTTGACTACTGTACTCCATGTACATATAACCTTACACTTAGAATGCTAGTTAATAGGGGAAAGCTTGTGACCCAGCTATCTCTCTAACATGCTAGTTTTCTGTGCAGATGAACTTTTTAATGTATTTCTAAGAAAGAGCATTTTATACCGTGAGCCCTTTATTTGCATATGAACTGGTACCATGGCGCCACAGATGCATTTTGCCTACTATTTCTGCAAGCTGGAGCAGTCTTACCTGTTAGATATTTAGGTAACATTGCATGTGTAGGGTCACTACAGAAAGAATGGCACCAGAGACCGAGCTGACTAACACAAGAGATCGCAGTAAACAAACAGAGTTGCCATTGATTTATCAGCAGTAAGCTTGTGCATATAATCTTCCTGGGTCAAGGAGGTCTAATACTTTTGTTTGTGTCAGAGATTTTTGGTTTTAAAAGAAGTGGGACTAGCGTTACCAAATACTTGGAAGCAGAATAACAAAGCAAGTAGAGCCAGGATTAGCAGAATAGGGCACCTGATAAGGTCCATCCCCTGCTGATCCTGGAAGAAACCAGTGAAGCCTCCTTGCCCTCCTTCCTCTTCGATATTGCTACCCATGTGTCACTTGCCCTCGTCCAGGGCCTGAGCAGTGGCAAAACCTTCATTTATCTCATTTCTCATTCTGAGCAGTGCTGCAGATTGTGCATGGAAGGAAAGTGTAAGAAATAGGCAGTGCAGTTAGCCACAATGCCCGCTGATTGAATTCGCAGACAATACTAGAACTGGAGCAGTGGCCACAACTGAGGAGCAGGTACTCCAGATCCAAAAGGATCTGGACAGACTATGAAAGTGGGCAGGAGACAACAGGATGGCGTTCAATGTGGACAAGTGCAAGGTCTTGCACTTGGGGCATAGGAATAAGTGTCAAAGTACAGGTTAGGGGACAAGTGGCTGGAGAGCAGCACTTGTGAAAGGGACCTCGGGGTGCTGGTTGACTGCAGGCTAAACATGAGTCAGCAGTGTGATGTGGTGGTCAAGAGGGCAAATGCCACCCTTGGTTGCATAGCCAGAAGTGTGGCTTCTAGATCGAGAGAGGTATTACTACCACTTTATACGACTCTGGTGCACCCTGAACTGGAGTATTGTGCTCAGTTTTGGGCCCCTCATTACAGAAAGGATATAGCCAGGTTAGAGTCAGTGCAGCGTAGGGCCACAAGGTTGGTGGCTGGTTTGCAGGGGATGCCGTATGAGGCGAGACTGAGGGAACTGGGTCTCTTCTGCCTGGAGAAGAGGAGACTCAGAGGGGATATGTTGGCGACATACAGGTATGTGAGGGGATGTCACATGGAGATGGGTAGAGACCTGTTCTCCCCTGCAGAGGAAGGCAGGACGCGCTCCAACAGAGCAAAGCTCAGGGAGCCAAGGTTCCATTTGGATGCCAGGAAGCACTTCCTGACAGTTAGGACCCCGAGGGTGTGGAATGGGCTTCCACGAGAGGTTGTTGAGGCCCCATCAGTGAAGTTGTTCAAAGATAGGCTGGACATGCACATGGTGGGCATGTCGTGAGCAGAGCCGGCTGGTGCTGGAGGTCAGACTAGATGGCCCGGGAGACCCCTTCTGCCTTGCTCTGTTTCTGTTTCTAAGACATCTTGCCTCCCAGATCTGGAGCCTTAATTGCACAGTGTATGGGAATAGAGGGATGCAGGTGGCACAGTGGTTTAAACTGCTGTGCTGCTGGGCTGGTTGACTGAAAGGTTGCCGGTTCGAATCTGCACAATGGGGTGAGTTCCCGTTGCTCCGTCCCAGCTCCTGCCAGCCTTGCAGTTCGAAAGCATGTAAATGCAACTAGATAAAAAGGTACCACTTCGGTGGTAGGTAACAGCGTTCTGTGCACTTCAGTGTTTAGTCATGCTGGCCACATGACCATGGAGACTGTCTGTGGACAAACGCTGGCTCCCTTGGCTAGGAAACGGAGATGAGCACCGCCCCGTAGTGTCAGACATGACTGAACTTTAATATCAAGGGGAAACCTTTACCTTTATCTTTACCTTTATGGGAATAGACAGTTCTCACAACTAAAGGAGGTAAGAAGTGGGACCTTAAAAGGCTCAATATTGGCATGCTTTTTTAACTTAGTAAACTACCTTGAGATTGGGACTAAAAAATGAGGTGGTCAAGCTTGCCGGTGACACCAAATTTTTCTGGGCAATAATAGCAAAAATGGACGGCAAAAATTTTCTGCACAGTCAGCGAATGAGCCACATAATGGCCAATGCAAGTCTATGTAAGCAAAATATAAAGTGTGAAAGACCTATTTTTTACAACGTCTTCTGCCAGTGCCTATCTCCTTGCACCACATCTGTCAAGGGGTATGGAAATACTGTTTATCAGAAACACAGTCTTTTTGATAGAGGCAACCTTCTTGTGGAATACTCTTTTCAGAAAGGTTTGCTTGGGGTATTTCTTTATATAGTTTAATTCGCTTTTTTGTAGTTGATCCTAGAATCGTAGGAATAATTGAGTTGGAAGGGGCCAAAAAGACCATTGAGTCCAACCCCCTGCTAGTGCAGGATACCAGTTATACCATCCCACTCAGATGACTGTCTAGATTATTCTTAAATGTCTCTAGTGTGGAAGAGCACACAACCTCTCTTGGCAGCTAGTTCCACTGTCATATTGTTCTTACAGTTAGGAAATTCTTCCTTGTCTCTAGCCTGCACCTGGGGTACTGTTGTTGAAGTTCATTCAACAGTGAACTTCAACAACAGTACTTCTGTGTCCTACAATCTGGGATGCATGTGAGAATAGATCTTTTCCTTCTTTTTGTGACAGCCTTTGAGGTAATGCAATGAAGAACAATAGAAAAAATATTTTAAATACATTTCACAACCTGTTTAGACACTTCTGCAGTGAAGAGCAGCAAAGGCACGAACTTTTAACAACTGTTATGCTTTCAGTCCATTAAATGTTTGCCTTGTTAACAACCCTATGTCAAACTCTTCTCTATTACTTCAATGGAAATGTGAAAGTGTGCATCTTAGGCTAACCAATGGGTCAGTGGGAAAGCTGCCACCCAATCCACTGTGCCGAATTTCTCCAACTTCCTAGAAGTGAAGAGACATGGTCACTACTTTTCAAAGGTGCTTCACCCCTACATAATAGGATTACAATACAGTACTCAATACAGAAGTGAACCTCAATCAGTTCAAAAGTCAAATTCAAGTTTGGAGAGCCTATGGTATTTGGTTGGTGGACAGGACTGAACACAAAGGGAGTGCAGCAAAAGCTGTAGTCAAAATGTCAATGTATTAAAATTTACTGCCAGTAATAACTTTTCAGACCATGCAAATGCTGGAAACTACCAAACAAAGGTGAAAGGAGGTTGGGCAGGGTGTGGCCATCCAGGAACCAGGAAGTGCAGAATTTGGTTCCAGGGCCTATATCCCTCCTTCCGGTTTTGTACTGCTTTCTTTTAGGCCACACACAGTCCTCCTCTACCTGAATAACTGAAAGCAATTCAAAAGGTAGGATGAATGTGTAAGTTGAGCAGCAACTTACTGGGTTAAGTTGCTACTCATTCAAGTCATAGACAATACGTCACATAGAAATCGATATTAGTGGTTGATTTCAGTGGAATATTCACCCACCCATTTCCTTTAAACAACAAACTAGACATTATGGATGGGACAATGTTTAATTCCCAAGTGATAGAATAAAAATGTTCATATGGCTGATAATAGACAATTTGAAGATCAGTACTAACATACTCCTGAGAGCAAGAGACAAATCATTCCTACACTTTAGTTCATCTACCAGTCATAAGCAAACAAAATGACTGCCTCTGCCCTACTGTGGCAGTTTCCCTGAAGAATTTCTCCCTGGTGAGTAAAATCCTCTCAAGCACCTTGCCTATCTCAAGCTATGTTCTGTTTTCAAATTTCATTACAATGGTTTGCTAAATCTTCTGCAGGGCTTCTGTAGTCCAGTGAGAGCCCATAGCCAATAGAAAACAAAGCCTCCTCCATTATTTAAAAAATTTGCTGTGGAACTAATTCCCACCCCTTGAAAGTGTTTATTCCTCAGGAATGGGATGGGGTGACTGGCAAGAGGGATGATAGCTTAATTCATAGACACAGCCATCAAGCCTGTACTTTGTGCTTCCCCATGCCCTCTAACAAAATAGAAAACCATAGAGAAACCTGAGGGGATGAGAGAGTTCTGAACATGTTTCTATTTTTAGGTTGATTTCTTCTCAAATTGTGCAGTGTTGCTCTGCATGAGGGCAATTCATTCATCACACAGGCAGCCTTCTCTTCAGACTGATCCTCAAGTCTTCGCTTAAAGTCTTGGCTGGGAAGAAAGCTTTACCTTCAAGTTTTCAGCAAGTTTATCCAAGAACTCAAATGTGTTCAAGTAGTCAGAGCGCTTCACGCTGACATGAAAAAAACAAAACAAAAAGATAAACAAGGGCATGAATGCACAAGGTTTAAAAGGGCTCTATAAATTTAGCAAAGAATAAAAAAATAAAGAATAAAGAATAAAAGCATGACAAGGTTTATTCTTTTCCAGTATTTATAGACATGAGAAAGTATCTGAATGCATCTTAATTTATATTGGTCCTGGGTAATGATTTCTGCTGTTGTTATGTGCTATTAGGTAATCTCCACTTTATGGTAGCCCAATGAATGAATGCCCTCCAAAATGTCCAGTCCTCGAGAGGGCCGCTCAGTGCTTGTAAATTGAAGGCTATGGCTTCCTTTATGGAATCGAGCAATCTGATAGTTGGTCTTCCTCACCTTTTGCCTTCAACTTTCCCTAGCATTACTCTATTTTTCAATGAGTCTTGCCTTCTCAGTAAGTTCAACAGCTTCATTTTTGTCATCTTTGTTTCTAGTGGTGACTTTAGGATATGATAAACACCTTAGAAAGAAAAATGATCTTCAACTCCCAGCCACGCCTCAGGCTATTTGTATACCAAAACATGCCCAGCAGTGTACTTATAACAGCTTGCAGAGAAAAGTTTGTCTGCTGTGACTCTGATGAAGTGTGACCTAAAATATTGCAACCAGATTTTAGCCCTGTTTTTAGTTGTTGCAAGTGCTTGCTTTCTGCTGCCTCCCTTGTTGCAAAGCAAACTCTGCAAGAGAATAGTCAAGACATACCATATATTTTGAATGGGAACAAAATTCATATCTAACCGACTGCACAGGCTATTTAGATTAAAAGGATAAAGTGTATTTTCATGTGCTTACTAAATTGTTAAACACTTTCCTTTAATATAGCTTTACTACTTTTGTAGAAAAGTTATATATTATTATTGAGCACTTGGTTTGGGGAGTTTTCATACATCTCTTAGGCCTGCATACTTACTTAGGTAACCCTTTGATACAAGCAGACAGATCTTTTGTCATAAAACCAGCTTCAATGGTTTCTACACAGACCTCTTCCAAGGTGGAAGCAAAGTTCTTGAGCTCTGCATTGTTATCTAACTTTGCTCTGTGAGCTAAACCTCTAGTCCAAGCAAAGATGGATGCTGTGAAAGATGGTGGTGAGAGGCAGGGAGAGAAAAGGATTCAATTACACATTATTTCAACAGTGTATAACCCACAACAGTTCTTTTTGCATCCCCCAAAAGGACATAGCAATCTAGATTTAAAGATCACCTGCTATCATATTCCTTGGCATTCACTGTGTGTTTGTGATTTCTTACAGTAGTTTGTAGGTCCTGGAGGATGCTGTCATCCTCCAGCATTTCTCTCATGCTTTCCAAGTATTTTCACGTATTTTTTAGAATGGGGCAAGTGTACTATTACCTGGCTGTCATGCTAAATCAAGCTAAAACTGTATTTCTGCAGTTGTGCCTTATCACAGTGCTACTTTGTGGTAACAGATCATGTAGGAAAGTAGAGAAAGAAAAATCTTCAGGAAAAAAAGCACATATAAAGGATCCAATCTTAATTCAGCAAAGAATCTGAATGCAGAAACCTTGTTAAGGTGGGTTAAAAGCCTTCTATAGAGAAGTATAGTTTGCCACTGTGGAGCCATTACTGTGCAATATATGTAGAATGACAGATTTTCAACCCTGAATACAGTTTAGGTTTATTTTATTCAGTTTTGAACTCCATACACTATGTTCATCTGTGCAGTGCAAGTGACACTGCAGGTTCTCTGAGTTATTGTGCAATCTGACATACCTACAGAATATAGAATTTCTTCCCTTGTACCTCACATGAATAAATTTTAAGGAGAAAATCGCTCAGATTCGTCACGAGCTGGACTCCACTAGTAATTCAGAGCCTTCAGGGGAGGAACCAATGTTTCCATCTGGTCCTGATTTATTGGATGAGTTTCAGTTATTGCGGCCTGATGATGTGGACAAGGTGCTTGGACAAGTACGTCCCACCACCTGCCTATTGGACCCTTGCCCATCTTGGCTACTTAACAATGCCAAGCACGGGATAGGGACCTGGATCCTGGAGGTTGTCAACGCCTGTCTGAGGGATGGCCGGGTACCTGCCCCTTTAAAGGAGGCTGTAGTCTGACCAGTCCTAAAGAAGGCATCCCTGGTTCCAGAGATGGCCACCAATTACAGATCATCATCCCATTTTTGGGCAAGGTGTTGGAGCGGGTGGTGGCGGGACAACTCCAAGCTCTCTTGGATGAAACTGATTATCTGGACCCATTTCAGTCCGGCTTCAGACCTGGATATGGTACTGAATCTGCCTTGGTCGCCCTGTATGATGACCTGTGCAGGGAGAGAGACAGGGGGAGTGCGTCCCTGTTGGTCCTCCTGGACCTCTCAGTAGCTTTCGATACCATCAACCATGGTATCCTTCTGGATAGGCTAGCGAGACTGGGGGTTGGAGGCACTGCTTTGCAGTGGTTCTGCTCCTATCTCAATGGATGATTCCAGAAGGTGGTGCTGGGGGACTATGGCTCTGCGCCATGGCAGCTATGCCATGGAGTTCCGCAGGGGTCCATTTTGTCCCCTTTGCTATTTAACATCTACATGAAACTGCTGGGAGAGGTCATTAGGAGGTGTGGGCTGCGAAATCATCAGTACGCTGATGATACCCAGCTCTACCTCTCGTTTTCAACCAATCCAGGTGAGGCAGTGGCTGTACTGAACCGGTGCCTGGCCGAGGTAATGGGCTGGATGAGGGCCAATAAACTGAAGCTCAATCCAGACAAGATGGAGGTCTTGTTGGTAGGCGGTTCGGGCTTTGGGGAAGGGGACCTTGACCTTGTCCTGAACGGGGTTGCACTCCCTCTGAAGGACAAGGTCCACAGCTTGGAGTGCTCCTCGATCCAGAGCTTTTGCTGGAAGCTCAAGTAACAGCGGTGGCGAGAAGCGCTTTCTTTCAGCTTCAGCTGCTTCATCAGCTGCGTCCCTATCTGGAGAACGACTGCCTGGTGACAGTGACTCACGCATTGGTAACTTCCCGACTAGACTTCTGTAGCATGCTCTACATGGGGCTGCCCTTGAAGACAGTCCGGATATTTCAATTGGTGCAAAACAGAGCTGCCAGGTTGCTGACGGGGACTGGGCTTTGTGCTCACATAACTCCAGTCCTCCGCCAGCTTCACTGGCTCCCCATTGAAGTCCGGGCCCAATTCAAGGTGTTGGTTATCACCTATAAAGCCCTTAACGGCTTGGGGCCTGGTTACCTAAAGGAGCGCTTACGTCCATAAGTGCCCTCTTGCCCCTTGAGATCGGCGGCAGAGGCCCTTCTCCGGGAGCCCTCTGTGAAGGACATTAGGAGGGTGAGTACCCGGAGGAGGGCTTTCTCTGCGGTGGTGCCCGACCTATGGAATGTGCTCCCCAGAGAGATCCACCTGGCGCCGTTGTTATTTGCTTTTCGGCGCCAGGCCAAGACCTTTTTATTTAAACAGCATTTTAATTGTTGATTTTATTTATTGATTTTAACAACTTTGGCCAGGATGTCTCCAATTGCATTTTATTGTATTAATGATATTTATTTATTTGTAAGCCGCCCTGAGGCTTAGGCGAATGGGATGGCATATAAGTCCGCTAAATAAATAAATAAAATATTCATGTCCCCAGAGCTAAATAGTCTATTATTCCCAGTCTTTTGATGTAAGATTTGCTAGGTAAAACTGGAAGTTGCTTACCAATGGAATTAGTGGAGGTTTCTTCACCTTTCTGGTACAAGCGATAGTGACGAGTCACTGTACCATGAGCAGCTTCAGCTTCAACTGTTTTCCCATCTGGGCATACCAGGACACTAGTCATCATCCCCAAGGATCCATAACCTGCACATGAGAGCAGTCTGTGTAATCCTAGCTCTTGAAAAAATGAGTGGTTTGCATATTCTTCTAGGTCAAGAGTGGGCAATGTTTGGCCCTCCAGATGTTTTGGCTGACAACTCCCATCAGCCCAAGCTAGCATAGCCAATGGGACTTGTAGGCCAAAATGCCAGAAGCTACCCACCCCTGTTCAAGGCTACAGATTTACAGAAGAGGGGAATAATCCCTTTGCGTCCCTCCCATTTCTATCTTGACCACATTAAGGTTATTAGAGGAAACTATCCCCACACAAATCAATGAGACACTTGTTTTGATCTACGATGTTCTTTAGATCTCTAGTGGTAAATTCTTTTTATATACTACAGCTTAAACCATGGGTGGATTTTCATTGTTTTTCAAATATGGGGCACAATTCAGCCAAAGTTAAACTTTGCTGTATATTAAGCATCTGCCTCATTCTCTCCCACTGAAATCAATAGAACCTAAGGTGTTCACCATTGTAGGTGCATAGGGCTTTCTGTTCACTGAATGATTCAAAATGCATGCAAACGGAAGCTCATGGTAGAAAGGTTCCATCCATCCAAAAAGTATATACATGTTGGTATCCCTAATACCAGCAATGAATCATTTCTGGCTCAGTTAACAGTTTGTGCATATAACATAATGTAAAAACGCTTCAATTGTCACATATTTCCCATCACTCTGAACAACTGATCAGTCAGAATGTCAAGGCATTGGTCCTCCTATCATATACTAAGTGAAGCAACAGGATTCAACCTCTTTCTAGCCCTCCTTGACCTTGGAGTTAAGTGTGCATGTTATTTTCCATTATCCTTTTCACATCCACATTTCTTCAAATCAAGGTTGTATCATCTGATCTTTTCTACCAGACACATGAAAAAGGTTTGCAGTACAAAGTATGGCTGGAAGAACAAGGATCTGTCTTGGCCCAGAGCAATATATTAGGTACTTGTTAATCCTATACAGAAACTGGCAACAGCTCTCTAGTGTAGGTACTCGGACATATTTCCTGCTACTTGCAGAATTACAATAGTATGCATTTCCCTGCCAAAATGAATGTGAATACTTCTTCTGGAAGAGGTACCATGTAAATAGCCTCAGATTCAGTCAGGATGGAAGAAAAATCCAAGGGAACATCACCACTACTGGGGAGCAGGAGCTATGTATAGGCCATGCCTGAGTTGGCCTCTCTTTTCAGGTGTCATGAGATGTTTATTAATTTGAGAGACTAGATGTGACACAATATTCTCATAAAACAAATGCAACTGCAAAATTATAATTATGGTCTACAGCAGGGTGGACAATGTGTGGCCCTCTGCAACTCCCATCATCTTTGATTACTGGCTATGTTGGCAGGGGCTTATGTGTGTTGCAGTCTGTCAACATCTGAACAACCTCATGCTCTTGGCCTATACTAGGCACCTGATAAAATACTATGCCGAAGCTAGTCACCTGCATATCATATTCATTGACACTTCTGTCCAATGGCATCCAAATAGCCAGAAGGCTGAGCAGTAATGCTATGACAATGTATCCTAATATTAGTGAGATATAGTAGTCTCTTCTTACTCAGGAGGGGTCACTAATTAGATTGTGCTGAAAACTCTTCCCCCCAACCTTCCCTGAGAGTACCACCTTCTTCTCAAGTATTATTTATTTATTTAAAGTTTTTGTATGTCGTCCCCTTGCTATACAGCCTCGGGACAGCTCACAGAAATAAATGTAATATGTAGTACTAGAGGCCAATTTTACCTTTCACTGGGCCCAGGTATTCCTGGTTTGACTTACTGTTACAGGCGACGTGGATGTGGGAGAGGGTATAACATTAATCAAAGCAGACTCTGAACAGCTGTCTTTCAGCTTCCAATACCACTTCCCTAATTCACATCAAGAAAGCTATGCATCATGCTACTCACTTTTCATACGGTACATGAGTTACAAAAGAGGCTTTACGTATATTGCTTTACGCATATATTCTTCTTGATATCATATGAATAGTTTAAACAACTAAATGAGTAAACCATGAGAACTGTTTGCAATGAGGTAATGCCTCATTTGAAGAAACAAACAGTGAAGAGACAGACCCAGAATTAAGCCTGCCTAATTCATCATACAGGCCCACTATGCCCCCCACCCCCACTCATACAGTGATCCTAGAAATTCATCAGAAATGCACTGGACACTTTCTTTAAAGAAAATTTCACAGGGCAAAGTGCTTTACATCAGGTACCTCCTCAAGGAACATTGCACATACAACTCTCTTGCTGCATACAGCTTATACAAAGCCAAGCATGTCGCAGAATGAATAATAATTCATCCTATTTTAGATTTATTTGGGCCACTTAGCTAAAAAAGTGAACTCTTCATATTAAAAAGCACTGAAATATTTTTTGTGGGGGCAGTGTTGCCTTCTGATTTTGCTTGTGGGCCTGCCAGAGGCAGCTGACTGGCCACTGCTGGAAGCAGGATGCTGCCCCATACAGACTTTTCACCAGATTTACCAGTGTTACAAGAATCAAATCTTTCCTTGCACAGCCAGCATACTGGGTACCACAGGTGTGCAGCTGGCTAACTTGTTCCTGCAAAGCACAGCCGTACAAAAACTGGATCATACCTTGTGCAACAGAGTCAGACTGCACATCACCATCGTAGTTCTTGCAGGCCCAGATAAACCCTCCCTCAGATTTTAGGGCTTGGGCTACCATGTCATCAATCAGCCGATGCTCATACCAGATTTTTTTGGCTTCAAACTGTGACTTGTACTCCCTGGAGGGCAAAAAGAACTGCATGTTACATGTAGTAATTACAGGCCTAGTACAGGCAAATCTTCAGAAGGAAGGGAAAGTGGGTTGCACCTTGCATAAAAAGAAAGTGGGAGTGGAGAAAAACCTGTTGGAGTACTACAGATAATTTTAATGTATTTTAAATATCTCCAGCACACACACAGCAGTTTAAGTTTCAACCTTTATACTACCTACACATTAAAAGTTGTTTCTCATAAATGTGCTCACTTTAAGGCACATTTCATTTATGTACATAATTTATGTTCCAGCTGTGGAAATGCCTAAGGGCTGATGGGTCACTGACACTGGCTCTACCCACCTACTGTCTTCCATGAACCGGATATGCATGGGAACAAACTGAATGCTGGCTCAGCTGACAATCTGGTTCATCCCCTGACCCCTACCTTATTTTAAAATCAAACATGATCGTGTTTATACATTTACTAAGCAATTTATTTTTTAAAAACAAGTAGGAAAGAACTTTCAACTGCTGTAGAAACTGGAGGCATGGGAGATTTCATGATGACATCACAGGGGACCAGTCAATCAACATCACGCACAGCCAGATTCTGCTTGAAGCTTGTATAAAACAACCTTTCCTGCAAAGTTGGACTCTGGGATGGACACTAGTATGTTTGGACTAGATGCACTATGGCTAGTCCAAAAACAGCGTGGAAGCAGCAAAACCCCCAAAAAACCTTCAAAATCTGTCTTTACCCATGAGCAAAGGGTTTTCAGCACCCATTGTACAAAACATAGAAACAGAGCGAGTCAGAACGGGCCTCCCGGGCCATCCAGTCTGACCCCTGGCTCCAGCCGGCTCCGCTCATGACATGCCCGCCATGTGCATGTTCATCCTATCTTTGAATACCCTCACCGATGGGGCCTCAACGACCTCTCGTGGAAGCCCATTCCACACCCTTGGGGTACTAACTGTCAGGAAGTGCTTCCTGGCATCCAAATTGAACCTTGGTTCCCTGAGCTTTGCTACATTGGAGCACATCCTGCCTTCCACTGCAGGGGAGAACAGGTCTCTACCCACCTCCCTGTGACATCCCCACACATGCCTGTATGTCGCCAATATGACATATTCTCCAGGATGAAGAGACCCAGTTCCCTCAGTCTCACCTCATATGGCCAGCCATCAACCTTGTAACCCTATGCTGCACTGACTCTGACCTGGCTATATCCTTCCTGTAATGAGAGGCCCAAAACTGAACACAGTACTCCAGTTGCAGGCACACCGGAGACATATAGAGTGGTAGTAATAACTTTCTTGATCCAGAAGCCACACTTCTGGCTATGCAACCAAGGGTGGCATTCGCCCTCTTAACCACCGCATCACACTGCTGACTCATGTTTAGCCTGCAGTCAATCAGTACCCCGAGGACCCTTTCACAAGTGCTGCTTTCCAGCCACTTGTCCCCTAACCTGTACTTATGACACCTATTCCTATGCCCCAAGTGCAAGACCTTGCACTTATCCACATTGAACGCCATCCTGTTGTCTCCTGCCCACTTCCATAGTCTGTCCAGATCCTTTTGGATCTGGAGTTCCTACTCCTCAGTTGTAACCACTGTCCCAGTTTTAGTATCATCTGTGAATTTGATCAGCAGACTGTTCATCCCCTCTTCCATGTCATTGATGAAAAGATTAAACAGGATTGGCCCCAGGACAGAGCCCTGGGGGACTCCACTTGTCACTGGCTGCCGTCCAGATGATTCCCCACTAATGGATACCCTCTGCTTTTGGTCAGTCAACCATGCCCTAATCCATTGGACAGTGCATTGGTCTATCCAAAAACTCCACACTTCCTCAACCAGGATATCATGGGGCACTTTGTCAAAGGCCTTGCTGAAATCCAGGTAAACCACATCCACTGCATCCCCTCCACCTAGCCACCTCGAAACCTTGTAGAATTCCACAAGGTTTGTCTGGCAGGACCTGTTTTTGCAGAACCCATGTTGTGTGGCTGCCAGCTTCCCTTCCCTATCTAGCATCACTAGATCTCTCGCTATTATGAGCCTTTCCATTGTTTTTCCTACAATGGACGTAAGGCCAACTGGTCTGTAATTCCCCATGTCCCTTCTACTACCCTTTTTGAAAATTGGGACCAGTGTCGCCACCCTCCAGTCCTCCGTTACTTCACTCGTTCTCCATGAGGCCTCAAAAATGGAGGCCAGCGGGCTTGAGATAACGCTTGCCAACTCTCAATGTATTCTTGTGTGTAGCCTGTCAGGGCCTGGCGCCTTTGTAATGTCCAATGCCCTGAGGAGCCCCTCAACTTCTGGGAGGGTGACTCTAATCTGTGGCCCTAAGTCCCCAGCCTCATCTAATCTCCCATGCAGATCTCCCCCATCCTGCTTTGGGGAGAACACAGAGGCAAAATAGTCATTTAGCATCAGTGCCTGTTCCCTCAAATCAGTCACTGGATCTCCTTCCTCCTTATTAAGTGGTCCCACTACATGTCTCCCCTTCCTCTTGCTATTTACATGCTGATAGAAGCCCTTTTTGTTGCTCTTGATATTCTTTGCAAGTCTCAGCTTGCAATCAGCCTCAGCCTTGCAAAGAATCCTTCTGCAAGGGGCCTCCTTCCCCCAGTATACCCTTTTGTCTATTTGGCCCAGTACCCATTTCCTACAGAGGTTCCTCTTCGTCTAATCCGCCTAACCACCTCCTTTCGCATTCATGGCAGCGCTCTCCTTCACCTCCCCGCCTTACTAACTAGAGTTATTGTCAAGGCTTGGGCCTCCAAAACTTCCCTTTTGAGTGGCATCCATCCCTCCTCAACTCCAGTAACCTTCCAGTAACCTATCCCAGAAGGCTTTCCCCAGTCTGGCCTTCAGTTGGCCAAAGTTGGCCCTCTTGAAGTCCCAGCTTCTAGTGCTTGACCTGCTGCACGTCCCCAGTCCCCTGATCTCAAAGCAAAGGATGGCGTGATCACTCGCATCCAGAGCTCCCCTAATCTGTACTTCATCTATCAGCTTCTCCCTGTTGGGTTTGCCAAAGCCTTTTTCATGGCTCTTAGGTAGTCACTGCTGCTTCCCTCTGTTTTGAATAGTGCACAGAAGCAAGCAGCCAAAGTTCATAGTAAGGGGGAAGCTCTCCTCCAACTTTTCCTGTTTGAATTGCAGCTGTAAATGCTACAGAGTCCTTTGCCTTTGTATCAGCTTGGAAGAATTGAGTGATAACTTTTGGTTCATGGGCTCTGAAGAAAGCCAAGTGAACAGCCTTTTAGAAGCTGGGATGAACCTTTGGCCTCCAGTTGCTTTAAAAAAATAGATAGAATAGCCCACATTTAAATTCAAAAATCACTTTCTACACTAACTTTTATATTCACATCTTTTCCCCTCAGCTTCCAAAAGGAGATGATTTTAGCTAATTGACATTCTGGAAACTACACCACCAGTTCTGCTTCCCCCTGCTTAAAAAAGCAAGCAAAAATTAAGACTATCAAGAAATATGTTTTAAGTTATGCAAGCTAACAGGAAATTATACCACTCTTTGAACAGAGGTATACATGCAGATATTCATGCAGGATGAAAATATGTAATATAACAAAATATTTTTACTTCTCATAGATCTCCTGGAAGATGTCCTTAAAACGCCCATCGTATTTCTTCAAAATTGTGTTTTTGGTGCTCATGTAAAGGGGCCAGCCTTTAGACAATGCCATCTGGAAAGAACTGTGGGCAAAGTCCCTGATGGACTGGTCAAGGTTGTACATTCCCAGAGCCACACCTCCACAGTCTGTGTCATGGAAAGACAGAAAGAGCAAAGAAAGTTGCATTCAGGCATAAAAAACATCTGCTTTTCAGCAGCACAGTATCACACAGAACAAACTCTCACACAAACACACATTATTTTCAAATATTGTACAATAACCATTTAACACTGTCAAGCCAATACTTTATATCAGCCATTACTGAAACAGCTTTTTTCTGCATATGAACATACACTCCGAATAAGAGGCAACCATATCCTTGATCTTCTCATATGTAAACTTCCCCATGACTTGGTCATGCAAAGTCACGCAGAGGACTACATGGAAACTATAAGCAAGACAGAATTAGAAGTGGGGGTGGACAATTCAGAGAAGCAGGGCAGAGAAGCTTGCCTCCTACAGTCAGTCTTGGATTGAGGCTTGCAGCAGAAAATGCCCGTTGCTTCCTTTCCTGTACACTGAGTTGCCCTACCCCAACTCAAAGAGCTGCATGCAGAAGTGTATCTGGCTGTACAGTTGCAGCCACATTTGTGGTGCTTATCTGGGTGCCTCTGAATTGGTTTTTAAAGGCAACTGGAATGCTTAATCCCATCCAGGGCCTATTTGTTGTATGCAAATCTATTATAGGTTGGCCTTAGGCCAATATTACAAGGAGAGCCCCACAGTGGACAAACTTCTGTTTCAGAATCCATGTAGGACAAAAGTCACCACAAAAAGGCAGAGACATTAATAAAGCAAGCTGGTCTGTTCATAAGCTTATTCCTTTTTAACTTGAGAAAACACAAATAAAGGGCCATACTGACTTCACCATGTTAAAAACAAACAAATCAAGCTTCCACATGCTGTGAGACACACAAAACCCCTTCAAAGGTTACAAAGAGGTGGGAGAGACGACCAGATATTTTGCCACAACATGAGAAACAGCCATTTGTTCTCAAGTTCTGGTTTAAGCTTTTCTCCAAGTCATGTGATTGAGATTCAACTTGTATGGATTGTTCAGTCTAAATGTTAGCTACTGCTGAAGGTGGAAGGGTAGCAGACTAATTATTGGATGCCTTGCTAAAGGCAAATGTCCTGGAGAAAGCAAAGGATGCTATGTATGCAAATGGGTTTGGTAAGACTGCCTGGGTCTTACTGATGTTCTGGACACAGATTTGTACCTGTCCAACGCTTTTGAAAAAATGCAAAGGTGTCTCCAGCTAAGGCCACTTCTGGGAGCAGGTTTTAGACAGTGGAGGATGCTTGGAATGCAGAAAGCCAGAGAGTCTGACCAGGGAGGCCCAGGTTCTAGTCTCCACTCAGCCATGAAACTCACTGGGTGACTTTGTGTGAATTGCTCTCCACCTAACCTAACTCACAGGGTTGTTTTCAGGATAAAATGCAGAGGAAGAGCATGTATACCGCCAAAGCGTCCTTGGAGAAAAGGCACAATATAAATGTAACAAATATATAAATTCACATCTGCATCTGCGTCACCATCAAGTATCTTTTCCAGATGAGAAACAGAAGCCAGTGACTCCAATACAGTTATCTGAACTTTAATCTACCTTCCCGGAGCACTGGCTGTTCACAGATCCAATGAGAAATAGGTGTATGACTTATTCATTTCAACTATCTTGAATGTCCTTCTGACTGCAAAAGTGAAGTTTAAGTAACTTCACTGGCATTGAGTTCTTCTTACCTTGTTTGCCATCTACAACCTTTCCTAGACACAGCCAGTCTAACTATGGTCACCCATGCCTGATCAATTCCTGGCCTCTTTATACTGCCGTGCAAACTGAAGTTCCTGGTCTCATCTGGAAGCCTTAAACATGCAAAATTGAAAGCTGGGGTCTCAGGTTTGCTCTGATCCCCTAAGCAACAGTATCCGCTAAGCAAGAGGGGTGATGTGACTTACAGCAATTTCTCTTCCCCCTAAAGTGTCTTGTGCTCATGAACATCTGCTCCTGAGGGTGCAGAACCATCAGGAACAGAAGGGGGCTGTGAAAAATTGTCACAAATTGGCTGATATTAAAATAAATATAAAATAAATATTACACATTTTCAGTTTGTTTGAGGTACATTTGATTTGTACTTCTTTTTCTAGCTAAAATACAATTTTGGAGATAGTTATGCAAATTAAAATGTCTCTTAAATAAGTACTTTCAGAAATTGGAGCATGTTGTAGCAACCATTTCACTAATGACTAAACACTGTAACATGAACAGACAAAGGTAGCATTGGGCACAAGGTCACTGTTCTGCTATAAAAATAGTTCTAGAGTCACCCCCCCTAGACATCGAGGGGCTCCTCAGGGCATTGGACATTACAAAGGTGCCAGGCCCTGAGGGGTTACAGCCAAGAGTACTTCAAGAAGTGGCAGGGGTTCTCTTATGACCACTGGCCTCTATTTTTGAGGCCTCTTGGAGAATGGGTGAAGTTCCAGAGGACGGGAGGGTGGCATCAGTGGTCCCAATTTTCAAAAAGGGTAGTAGAAGAGACATGGGGAATTACACCCCAGTTAGCCTTATGTCCATTGTAGAAAAAACAATGGAAAGGCTCATAATAGTGAGAGATCCAGTGATGCTAGATAGAGAAGGGAAGCTTGTGGCCACACAACATGGGTTCCGCAAAAACAGGTCCTGCCAGACAAACCTTGTGGAATTCTACAATAAGGTTTCGAGGTGGCTAGACAGAGGGGATGCAGTGGATGTGGTTTACCTGGATTTCAGCAAGGCCTTTGACAAAGTGCCCCATGATATCCTGGTTGAGAAACTGAGGAGTTTTGGGATAGACCAAAGCACTGTCTGGTGGATTAGGGCATGGTTGACTGACCGAAAGCAGAGGGTAATCCATTAGTGGGGAATCATCAGGATGGCAGCCAGTGACAAGCGGGGTCCCCCAGGGCTCTGTCCTGGGGCCAATCCTGTTTAATCTTTTCATCAATGACATGAAAGAAGGGGTAAACAGTCCGCTGATCAAATTCGCAGACAATACTAAAACTGGGACAGTGACCACAACTGAGGAGCAGGTACTCCAGATCCAAAAGAATCTGGACAGACTATGGAAGTGTGCAGGAGACAACAGGATGGCGTTCAATGTGGATAAGTGCAAGGTCTTGCACTTGGGGCATAGGAATAGGTGTTATAAGTACAGGTTAGGGGACAAGTGGCTGGAGAGCAGCACTTGTGAAAGGGACCTCGGGGTGCTGGTTGACTGCAGGCTAAACATGAGTCAGCAGTGTGATGCGGTGGTCAAGAGGGCTAACGCCACCCTTGGTTGCATAGCCAGAAGTGTGGCTTCTAGATCAAGAGAGGTATTAGTACCACTCTATATGACTCTGATGCGCCTGCAACTGGAGTATTGTGTTCAGTTTTGGGCCCCTCATTACAGGAAGGATATAGCCAGGTTAGAGTCAGTGCAGCATAGGGCTACACTGGCCGGTTTGCAGGGGATGCCGTATGAGGCAAGACTGAGGGAATTGGGTCTCTTCAGCCTGGAGAAGAAGAGACTCGGAGGGGATGTGTTGGTGACATACAGGTATGTGAGGGGATGTCACATGGAGGTAGGTAGAAACCTGTTCTCCCTTGCAGTGGAAGGCAGGATGCACTCCAACAAAGCAAACCTCAGGGAACCAAGGTTTAATTTGGATGCCAGGAAGCACTTCCTGACAGTTAGGACCCCGAGGGTATGGAATGGGCTTCCACAAGAGGTGGTTGAGGTCCCATTGGTGAGGGTGTTCAAAGATAGGCTGGACATGCACATGGTGGGCATGTCATGAGCGGAGCCGGCTGGAGCCGGTGGTCAGACTAGATGGCCCAAGAGGCCCCTTCTGACTCACTCTGTTTCTATGTTTCTATCTGGGTGGCCTTCAGAGAATACCTATCAGTGTATCGAACACCCATCAGTGCTTAATCAGTGCCTTGCCCATGCTTTCCTTGCTGCAAATTTCAACTCAGCCACTGCACTTACTGGGTGTCCTTAGGCAAACCACTAGTCTCTTCCACTTCTCAGCTGACTCTATGGGAATAACACAGACCTTCTTAGAGGGCTACTGAAAGGTTTACTCTAAGACTTCTTAAGCTTTAGAAAAGTGGTTGGAATACAATGGCATGGTTGCAAAGCATGAAGCTGTGTTGGCTGTGAATGAAGAACAAAAACTCAGTATGACTGAACAGATGCCAACTCAGCACCAGCCTCCACTAGCCTCAGCCTGCATGCTGGCATGCAGCCTACAACTGTTCATTCATAGCCATAGCTCAACTGAGAGTGAATATAGGCTAAGAGTCACCAGAGCTTCCTTGCAGCCACCAAACTCTATGCATTCTCTTGTGAATGCTATCCTAAATGGCACATATAGCATGCATGACACTGCTGTGTTTATTAATACTTCAGACTGAGAGGGGAAAAGCCACACCAAACACACAGATGCAGTGTGGGGATTCATTCACAGCTTAAATGAACGGAGTGTCTTGATTATACAGAGGGCTGCATCAAAGTCCACATGCAAGCAGTCTCCCAGTGATTTTTCTCTGCAACCTGTAACTTTCCTGGCTCTCCCTTCTGAACAATAAGGAACTTGATCTCAGTTCTGCTGGGGGGATGGGAAGGAATGAGCTTGAACTTCTCAACAGCGCTCAAGTGGGGAGCAAATAGGCACTGCAGGTAATAATAATAATTAATCAACATCATCAAGATCCCCCTGCCACACACACTGCAAATAAAACCTTTGAGTGTTCACAACAGTCTAGATACATTGCTGAAGTAATCCTTGGAACAACTATGCCAAGGTGGTCAGTGATGTGGGCTGAGGCTGATTGGAGCTGCTTGTCTGCCTGAGGCTGAGCTCACCTGCTGCAGGCCTTATGCTGCCACGGACTGCTACATACTACAAGTGCTCCAGCACTGCAGACAAATCACCCCAGCTATCATAAGGTTCTGCCAAAGTGTCCCCTTAAGACTCAGTTAAGTCCTTCAAGACATGGAAACAACTCTCAAGACAGCTACAGGAAGAGTCTCCACATGGCCCAGCCTCAGTAAGTGGGCACCTGCTTGCTGGGCCTGGTGTTCCACCTTAGCCAGATACTGGCAACCAATAGTGTCTGGCTGGGTAGCTGCTGCTTCTTGCTTTCTCCATTGTTGGAAGTGTGGCAGCTGCTGTACTTCAAAATGAAAGAAAAAACAGCCCAGTGGTGCTGCTGCAGGGGCTGGCAGGGGCTGGCCAGGCCATGGAGTGTCTGGCCAGGTGCAGCTGCTTGTGGCATGGTCTTCAGTGACACAGCAATGGCTGGAGCACCTGTTCTGGTGGTGTGGCAAGAACTCAGGCTACTTGGTAGCGATGGTACTTTGCTGGGGTGGAAGGAGGGGGACAATGTACCAATTGCTAGTTGTAAATCTGTAGTTTAAAGTCTGAGTCCATCAGTTAAGTAGTAGACCTTTAAGTTTCAAAGGTCTAATTTGTAGAAAGCCTTACAGGAGGGGTCTCAAACTCGCGGCCCACGGGCCAATTGCCGCCCGTGGGACGATATTTTGTGGCCCCCACTTAATATCAAAGTTTAGTGATAGTGCAGCCCACACATTTTTCTCACATGCACCTGCGTGAGTCGTTACCCTGGGCGCAATGTTCCCTCTAAGCCAGGGGTCTCAAACTTGCGGCCCGCGGGCCAATTGCCAGGATGGACAGGGGCCCTGTGGCTTTCAAAGCGCTGGTGGCGCCCGGGCCAGCCGCGGGATGAGCAGCCCACCACCGCCGTGGTGGTGGAATACTTGATGTGGCCCAGCCTCACCCAGCCTCTACTTCCAGCGGCCCCCAGGTGAGTTTGAGACCCCTGCTCTAAGCTGCACGCCGGGATGGGCGGGGCACGGGGGAGGGGCCCTGTGGCCTTCAAAGCACCAGCGGCGCCCAGGCCGGCCTCCGGGAGCAACGCGGGATGAGCGGCCCACCACCACCACGGTGGAGGAATACTTGATGCGGCCCAGCCTCACCCAGACTCTACTTCCAGCGGCCCCCAGGTAAGTTGAGTTTGAGACCCCTGCCTTACAGTAAGATATTTTGTTTGCTTCCTGTTCACTTTGATGCAACCTTCTCCTATTCTCCACACTCAGATATCTTTAGAATGACACTTCCTTTAATTCTGAATACCTACTTTCAAAGTTATGAACCAAGTAAGTTACAGGCTGGCCTCCATTCTTCGGTGTGTATGCCATTTCTACCTTTCCAGGGCCAGGAACAACAAAGTCTGTGGCTCTGTACTGCAAAAGAAGCACAGCAAACAAAATGGCAGCTTTTATCAGAGAAGGGCAATATGTAACCTACAAACATCCCTCTAACATATGTTACTAGAATCATGTAACATGATGAATGGAATCAATTCTCCCCTTTTGTGAGGCAGAAGATGGGATGAATAGCATTTCCTTGAAATTCCTTCTACACAAAGGCCAGTGACCTCAGCTACAGTTTGCACAGATTGTGACATAGCTCAGTCTATTTAATTGTTAACAAAACCCACAATGCAACCTTTCTATTTCAAATAACCGTTTCTAAAATCCCTAAGAAACTTGTTTTATTACAACTAACCCACTGCACTGTAATCTGCTGTCTATTGCAAACATGCTCCAATTGGGCAGGAGGGAACATGTCATCCTCTGGATGTCACTGGACTACAACTCCCATCAGCCATGGTCAGAAAGAGCTGATTGGAGTTGCAGTGCAACAACATCTGCAGGGCTAGATGATCTCCATTCCTGCTCTTGTCCAACAAAATTTGGCATCTAATAAAAGTATCATCCAGCAACACAAAATACTGCTGGGGATACTCACTTGGTCTCCGTAAGCATGACGACCAATGATGATAGGCTTTGTCCATCCAGGGATCAGTCGTGGGATGTTTTTGCAGATGATGGCTTCCCTGAAGACTGTGCCCCCCAGAATATTTCGGATTGTTCCATTGGGAGATTTCCACATCTGCTTCAGCTTGAATTCTTCTACTCTCTTCTCATCAGGTGTGATTGTGGCACATTTGATTCCGACATTGTACTTCCTTATAGCTTCTGCAGCTTCTACAGTGACCTTGTCATTTGTTGCATCACGATTCTCTATGCCTAAGTCATAGCTGCAGAACACAACCCCAAAACATGATCACTTGTAAGGCCTTTATCAGCTCGCCCTAATGATTATTCATATGTGTTTCCCTTGAAGCTCAGGATGGGAAACTTGTTGGGAAATTTATGCCAGGATTAGTGTAATGTGCTTTAATTGGGGCTGCCTTTGAAAATGGTCTGGCCTTTGCAACTAACTCAGAAAAGTGGGCCTCATGAGCATATTAATGCTGCTGGTTATTGATGAAAACTGGGCCCCATGAGCATATTAAGCCAGTCCTTTGCAGGCTATGCTGGCTGCCAGTTGCCGTCTGGGCCAGATTTAAAGTGTTGACCTTAACAATAACAAGCTTGGGACTTGGATATCTGAGGTAATGCCTATTTCAACATGTTCTTCCCCAATCACTGAGGCCTTTGTTGGAGGCCCCTCTCTGAGTTCCTCCCCCTAACAAAGTGAGGGGAGAAATGGCCAGGAGAAGGGTCTTCTCTCTTGTAGTTCCACCTTTGGAACTTGCTTCCTAAAGAGATTCAGCAGGCATTGTTGCCTTTATTCTTTTTGCTGCCAGCTAAAAAACTTGTTATTCTGTAGTTGTTTTGGTGATTAATTTGGTTTTAATATGGTTCATTGAGCTTGCTGCTGCCTCTGAGTGGTTTTTAAATCACCAGACTGTATTTATAAATAATTTTCTTTTAATTTTTTTGTTATTATTAAATTCTGATTTGACTGTTTATAATTTTGATAGTTTTTACTTCTATTGTTTATTGTCTGATTGTTTTAATTGAATTTTATACTTTAATTGGTCTTTTACTGTTGCTTTACCTATTATAAGCTGTCCAGAGAACTTTTTGGCTGTGGGTGTGGCACATAAATGTAATAAATAATAATATCACTTAATGACAGCAAACAGTGGAGACAATTAAAATGACTTCCTCCTAGTTTTAACCAAAGGGCAGCACAAGCAGAAAGGTTGTGCAAGTCACCTCCTTGACAGAGTGTGAACCTCTGATCGTTCGCAAACGTCCAAGGAAGAAAAAAATTGCATTTCTTGAACAGTTACATATAAAAGACTCCAGAAGTGAATTTACTGAACACAGCTTTTGTGAACAGATAGATGGGTGGATGGGCTGTTTCCTATGTGATGGACTCATGTGCAAGAATTCTGTTTTTAGGGAATAAATACAATTATCAATCTAATATTCCCATTCCTATAATAGCACTTTGGCATAGTTTTCCTATCTCTTTGCAGGTAGGAAAGCTGGTTTTTGCCAACTGGTTTTCCACCACCTGGAAACTAAAAACACTCAATTATAGTTTTTGTGGAATCTCCAAATGTATGCAACTGGACAAATACAGGAAAACTCACAAACTAAATGTGGGTCTCTAAAGGACTGGATAAATCTGAAACCTCTCAAGCCAAATGAAACAGTTCTTTTCTGATACTTTCAGAAATGAAAGTGGAGTTGGCGAATATGAAGACCCAGATGATTGACGATCAGAAGACGATAAACCAGAATGAACAAAGAGTTGAATTAATGGAACAAAAATCTCAGAAGCTTGACTACGATAGAGAGACTGGAAATAGAGCACAAGCAATTGTAGGACTCTCTGACCTTTTTGGAACTCGAAAAAGCTTCAAATGTTTTAAGATTACAAAATATTCTGGAAGAAAAGCAGGAAGACATTAAAGAAAAGGTTACCAAACTATTTTCAGAACAACTACCAGATGAAGGAGTTGATTTTGAAAATGAGCTGGATTTGGCGTATAGAGTAAACTCCAATTATGCCAGGTGGAATAACTTCCCAAGAGAAGTCTATGTTAGATTCCTCAAGAGGAATACAAGGGATGAAATTCTAAGGAAGTTAAGAGGTCAAACTGTAAAATTAGAAGGTATAGAGATCATAGTAAAGAAATCCCTTGGAAAATCAGGCAAAGGAGAAAAGAATACCAATTTTTGACAACAAAATTGTTTCAAAGTGGTTAAACTTTAGATGGATAGTTCCAGAAGAAATCATATTTTCTTTTCAATTTAAGAGATTTAGATTGAATTCAATATTAAAAGCCCAATAATTTTTTTAAAAAGTACAGAGCGTTACTGGAGAATGATGATGCCCTGCAACCCACAAGGGATGAAATTTCAGAGAAGGGAGCTGGTCTGGATTCATTAAGCGATGAAGACAATAATTTGAAGGAAATCTGTGAGAATATGGACAAGTGATAGGGATTAAAATTAATAAAAGGAAAACTAAAATACTGGTGAAAAACATGACTCAACTACAAAAGGATGAATTAATGGAACTATCCGGACTTGAAATAGTTAAAAAGGTTCAATATTTGGGAATCTACTTAACTGCTAATGTGCAACTGTAAAGGAAGATAATTATACAAAGCTGTTTAAGGAGGTTAAAAGGGACTTGGAATAATGGAAGGACTTGCATATTACAATGTTGGGAAGAATTGCCACAATAAAAATAAATATACTTCCTAAATTTTGGTTCTTGTTTCAGACCATCCCAATAAAATTAGAGAAGAAATTTTTTCACTTAAATATTTTTATATCTAAATTCATATGACTAAGGAAAAAACTTAGAATTAAACTAAAAATGCTTCAAGAAACAAAAGAAAGGGGTGGCTTTGTATTACCAGACTAAATGATATACTATCAAGCTTGTGTATTAGTATGGATAAGGGAATGAATGGTACTGAAAAATAGGAGACTTTTATATGTGGAAGGACATGATTTACAAGTTGGATGGCATGCTTTTTTGTGGTACGATAAACTAAAGTCACATAAATATTTTGTTAATCATTATGTAAGGAACTCTTTAATTACAATATGGTTAAAATTAAAATCTAAAATTTATAACAACATTCCAGGGTGGGTCTCACCTTTGGAAGCATTTACCCATCCGAATTTGTTAAGTAAGGGAAAAGCTATAAAATATGGGGACATTTTGAGTATGAAAGGGCAACTTAAAACCAAACAAGAATTGCTCCTACAGGGAATAGAATTGCATTGGTGGCCATGGAATCAAATACAATCTAGATTCAAAAAAGATAAATACTTACAGGACTTTTATAAAGAACAGATCCCTTCCAATAAGATGTTATTGACAACAGAAGATAAGCTGATTAAAAAGATGTATAGATTTTTATTGGATATGAAAATGGAATATGAGCAAGTTAGAGACAATGATTAAATGGGTACAGAACTTTGGTTATAATACAGTATTAGAAAAATGGCAGAAATTGTGGAAGAGAAATATAAAATTGACAGTTGCGCCTACATATAAGGAGAATCTGTATAAAATGTTTTATAGATGGTATTTATCTCCAGATAAATTAGCCAAAATGTTTCCAAATATGTCCAATAAATGTTGGAAATGTTTTAATAAACAAGGTACATTTCATCATATGTGGTGGACATGTGATAGAGCTAAGATATTTTGGATTAAGACACATAGTTGGCTTGAATTAATGTTATGTAAATATGTACCTTTTAAACCTGAAATTTTCCTGTTAAGCCTGATACCTGATGATTTTGACAATCTGAGCTTATATTTAGCATTGCATATTATTACAGCAGCTAGAATTGTTTTTGCTCAATATTGGAAGGAAGAAGAGGATTCCTACGGAGGAGATGGGTAGAGAGCTGTTCTCCCCTGCAGAGGAAGGCAAGACGCGCTCCAACAAAGCAAAGCTCAGGGAACCAAGGTTCTCTTTAGATGCCAGGAAGCACTTCCTGACAGTCAGGACCTCCAGGGTGTGGAATGGGCTTCCAGGAGAGCTCGTTGAGGCCCCATCGGTGAGGGTGTTCAAAGTAGGCTGGACATGCACATGGTGGGCATGTCATGAGTGGAGCTGGCTGGAGCTGGGGGTCAGACTAGATGGCCCAGGAGACCCCTTCTGACTCGCTCTGTTCCTAGGTTTCTATAATACTGAAGATATTGGACTACGCAGAGATGGACAGATTGACATTAATAATGAAAAATAAAGAGTCAACGTGTTATGAGGCTTGGAATTTGTTCTATGAGTGGCTGGAAAGGAAGACATGGACTTAAAGTTTAGGATATCTATGTGATCTATGAAACTGTACAGAAGAATCTGATACTTGACCAATTGATATGATGGTTCTTTTTTTTCTCAGTTTTTTTTTAACTGAATAAAATATATTAAAAAAGAGAAACATTTCTGTGTTACAGAGAAAAAAGTCTGATGTCATGGGACTTATCATTACTATGAATGAAATGCTGACTTGTTCATAAGCAAATAGGCAGTCACATCCTTTAGAATTACTGCAGCCTTTTATTTAGGCATGTAATGAGTGGAGCACACTGGAGCCAGGGGTCAGACTAGATGGCCCAGGAGACTCCTTCTGTCTCACTCTGTTTCTATTTAAAGAGATGAAAAAGGGAATGCTTCCACAAGCTATATAGCATCTGGCAAGATAGATAAGCTAAGAGAAAAGGCAAGGAGCTCAGAGGGCCCTTTGTTGTCTTTGCACTGTTTATCTCATTCCCTTTTCACCCTGGGAAAGGTTAATCAGAGATACACAGATATAAAAAAGGTACACAGAGAATCATCTCAGTATCTCAATAGATAACTTCCTGATTCACATGGAAAAAAAACATTTATGATTATCCCCAGAGGTAAAATGAGAACTACCCACAGAACTTAATGGAGAAATCAGGATTTAAATATTGCCGAAATGGAATACCAGTGCGTCCGCTCTACCATTCAAGGTAGCAGCGCCAAAGCTTATAAAATAGCTCTGCTAAAGTAAACAACTAAGCAAGTGCTGTTTCTCCCCCCATACTGCGGTTGGATGGGACTGTGGCTGAGAAAGACAGGCTTATCACTGCTCTGTAGTGTAGTTCACACTAAAAACTACATGTCAGGCTCTGAGTGGTTTAAAACAATTAGCCAATTTTGTTCAGGGGTGTAAGAATCCTACTGCAGGCTGGCTGAAGCCAGAAGAGTAGCTTACAACACCCCTGCCACGTTATTTATTGCTGTTATCCCAAGGTGGCTGAGAGCAGGAAACAACTCTGCAGTGTAGTTCACAATTACTCCTCTGTTGTAGTTTGGGGGACTGTGCTGAGGAGAAGCAGCTTTGTAATGTGGTCCCTTCTTAATATTGCGGGTCCTGTATAGAGCCAAGACCTGCCAGCCAAAAATCCCCCATGCTTCTCCAGTTGCAGCAAAAGGTCTATTTACTTAAATTGTTTCCATTTGATATCTGCCCAGTCCAAATCTAACACACAATTGTGCACAGAAACCTCACAGTAAATGTCCAAAAACTGTTTTGAAAAATTGCACATGAAATGGAACCTAAGCTGGGTTAGGGACTCCTGTCTTTGATAACAATGTTTGTTTTTTCTGCCCTCTCAGCCAGAGAACTCATGCTTAGAAGATACACACTGAACATTTGATTGCAAAACCCCATTTATGTCATAATAAGTAAGAATTAAGTACACTTGGTGATTGCATGAAATTGTGAAATATACTGCATATCAGATTCTATACAGAACAATATATGAACCAACAGTGGCACCTAACTGTTTGCTTTAAGAATTATGATGTATGTCATAATCTGCTGGGATGGGCTTGCTCAGATGCCATTTTTTGGCAGCGTCAGCACTAGGAAAGTGGTACATCTTGTTAGGCAGCTTTGTATTCAGAACAAAATCAAAGTACAAGAGAAGTAGGAGAAAGGTCAAAGATGCCTGGTTCAGAACTTTAAAGAACTGCTGTATTTTTGATAGTGGTAATCTGTCCATGGCCTTGAGAACTTGAGGGATAGAATATCAAGTCAGCTATTGGAGGTCCTCGTGGTTTATTTTTATTTTATTTATTTTATTTATTAGAACATTTCTATGCCGCCCCTTGCCGAAGCCTCGGGGCGGCTTACAACACAATAAAATACAAAAATAACAATATAAAATTAAAATTAACAATATAAAATAAATAAAAAATATAAAAGAAGTCGCCCTGGCCAGATAAATGAGCAAATATTGTTAACAATTAAAATGACGTTTAAATAAAAAGGTCTTCACCTCGCACTGAAAAACAAATAATGACGGCGCCAGGCGGACCTCTCTGGGGAGCGCGTTCCATAGGTTGGGCGCCACCGCAGAGAAAGCCCTCCTCCGAGTACCTACCCTCCTAATTTCTTTCACGGAGGGTTCCTGGAGAAGGGCCTCTCCCGCAGATCTCAAGGGGCGGTTGGGCATATATGGATGTAAGCGCTCCTTCAGGTAACCAGGACCCAACCTGTTTAGGGCTTTATAGGTCATAACCAACACCTTGAATTGGGCCCGGACTTCAATGGAAAGCCAGTGAAGCTGACGGAGGACTGGAGTCATGTGAACATAATGCCCCGTCCCCGTCAGCAACCTGGCAGCTCTATTTTGAACCAATTTATGGAGGTCCTAGGCTAAATGAAGTGGGAAGGAAGTTAAGTAGGGTGCAGTTTTACCACTTGAAAGCCATATAAAAGTGCAGAAAGCATCAAAAGGAAAAGACCATCTTTCCTCTGGGGAGCTATTCAGAACCAAGAAACAGGTCAAAGGGCTGGAAAGAGGACTAATGGACTAAAAACTGACCAGGGCTATGTGGAAGTTGAAGCTGCCCCCACAGTAGCCACTTCTTTTTTCCTGGCAGAATTCCTATGCCATTAAAAGCTTGAGGAGCTACTGGAACAATAAAACCTTACCCTAGCACAGAGATGCAGCAATGCAAAGAGCTGTACCTGTTACATGTCTGACAGTCATAGCATTTTTAAAAGGCATTGGGACACTGACAGAAAAAAATAATGGCAACTCAGTTAATTAATTAGCTCACAAACTGCATAGCAATCTGAAATATAAGAAAATGACAGGGCCTTGTGACAGCACCTGAAAGGATTGTGGCCATGGGCACTGCAAAGAAGAAGAGTCACCAGGTTCCACCTTCTGATCAGTTTAAGCTTACCTGAACCCTGAGATTTTAAGGAGAAGGGTGAGCTTAGAAGCATGTGAATTCCTGTTCTGAGGAACTTTACACAGACCATTTAAAATACTTCAGAAACAATGGCACTTATGATCCAACCTGGTTCCCACTAGATGTTTTGGCCTAAAATTACCAGCCATTCCTGCCTATTGGCCAACTTGCAAGGCTCAGGGACTCACAAAGGCCCACCCATGTTCCACCATTCTTATATCCACCTGGAAGGCTATAGCAGAGTAGGCATGCTCTGTGGCAGCCCATTTTAAAAGACAATTAAAAAAAAAGTCTGCTTTGAGTAGCAATGATCTTTACCCGTCAGCTGCTGCCTTGGGTTCCTCATCAACAAAGTCCTCGCAAAGGCAGTATCTGATTAGTCCAGATCTTTGCTATTCAAAACACAAGTTAAAACAGAGCCTTGTAAAATTATGTGTGGAAGTCCTGCTTGGCTGGCCAAGTGCTGAACATGGAAATTAATCTTGATATCAAGAAAGGGAATGTGTGAGTAGCTACCAAGAGGAAAATATTACCAAAAATAGTTTTTCAGATACAAAAGCTAATATCAGGGAACCACATACTGCTACTACTACTTATTTTTATTTAATTACATTTCTATACTGCCTGTAGCCAAAGCTCTCTGGGTGGTTTACAACAAGTTTTAAAAACAATAAAATACAATAGATAAAACCAATTAGGAAGAATTAAAATTAATTAAAATAACATAAAACATAAAAGACAATTAAAAAGACCAGACTAAGAGTAAAAGGCATCTGGCTGTCAGGCCCCTGAATGACCAGGGAGATCTTCAAAGGCCTCCGCAAAGAGGGCTGTATTGACATGGCACCAAAAAGATGGCAAATTTGGCACCTGGCAGGTCACAGCAGGGAGGTTGTTCAAATGTCCTCATAATACTGAAGATTTGTAAGGTCTCACATACCTGTGGAGATCCAGATCCACATGAGGAAAGATCAGCTTTTCCTTAATCTGATCCCATATTACACGGGTCATTTCATCCCCCTGCATCTCAACAACAGATCCTCCCTGGATTTTTTTAGACATTGTGAACTAAAGGGAAAAAATACAAATACATGCCATACTAAACAAAACAGAATATAACAACATCAAATGGATCTTTTGCTTAATCTTACCCAAGCTGCCAACCTCCAGGTAGGCTGGACTGAAAACTTCCATGATCTCCAGCTAGCAGCAACAATAGCCATGCTGGCAAAGAATCATGGGAGTTTTAGCCAATCCACCTAGAAGACACCAAGTTGTATGAGGAGGAGGAGGAGGAGGAGGAGGAGGAGGAGGAGGAGGAGGAGGAGGAGGCGGCGGCTGGTAGAAGGCTGCTCCAGCAGGTCAAAGTGACACTTTGCTATCCACATTCTCAGGGCCAAAGTGCATGATAAGTTCAATAAGAAGTATGTGACTTTGTTTCTTTTTGTTTGTGTCTACAAGTAAGCATGCAAGGCCCTGGTCTGGTTTGAACTACCATGCATGGGTGGGGAAGGACCTTCCCTTCCCAGCTGCTCCCCCTCCCCCAGAAAAAAAAAGGCTCTGGCAATGGCAAATGAAGCACAGATGTTACTTGTTCATGCAAGTAGACAACTTTTCTGAGACATGAGGGCTCCTGAAAATATAATACACAATCCTTGGTAATTGCTTTGCAAAATTATGAGTTCCATAAGTACTGCAAAACCAAAGGTACCACTAGTATAGATGGTTTATTACTCTTCCATACTACCTGAGGCACTAGGAAGGAGTCCTCCCATATATTAGCTTTCTGAAATGACAATCCTCATTTTCAGAAACACACGGAAGTGAGAGAGTGAGTGAAAGAGCAAGCTCCTAAATGCACCTTGATCTTTGTCAACAAAAGCACTGCTTGAAAACATTCCAGGACTTACTTATAATCCCTGCAGGTTTTTGGCTACTCCTGTAAGTTGTGAAACAGCAGTGAGTTGGTGTGTGTGTGTGTGTGTTTCTTTTTTGCAATTGGGACATTGACAATGACATTTCACAAAGATTCACAGAGTTACTTTACCTTGTGACCAGTCCCAACCTGATTCTGCACACATGCATGTGGAAAAATGGATGCATTAGTTGGCCTTCACACAATACAGCTTCAGCTAAACTTCTCAAAAGAAATGATCACTGCTAGGGAAAGTTTAGTCAGGAATCACCATCAGCTGCCCACATATATGCCAGTTCATGGTTTTACTTCTCCCATTTTAAAGCCTTGATGGCTGTATTTACAAATATCTTATATTTGTTCACAAAGAGGGGAAAGCAATAGTATGAACTGACCCCAAATGATCAGAAGGTATGTTATTGCTTTTATTATTACCTTTACATCCCACCATCTTTCCTCTAGCAAGGAACTCAAGGTGGTTCTCCTTCTCTCCATTTTATCCTCACAGCAACAACCTTGTGGGGTAGGTTAGGCTCAGAGTCAGTGACTGGCCCAAAGTCACCCAGTGAACTTCATGGTAAGTCAGGGACTAGAACCTTGATCTCCCAACTTCCAGGCCATTATGCCAAACTTGCTGGCAAATTCAGGGCCATACATTGCATAGAAGTTATGCATATATAATCAGTTTCTGGGATTTTTGGTCATAATATGTCTTGGTCCAAAAAGCAAAGATCAAACAGAATCATAAGCAGCTTCAGTACAACTTTGGGGGGTACATAGAATGGGAAGGGCTTATTCTTACTGATTCACTTGAAGCCATTCTGGGTAGTATAGAAAATAAATAAATAAGTTCTTATCATGATTATTAGGAGAGGGAAGTTACATGTTCTTTCCAACTCCAACCTGAGGCAGTCCAGGTTCCACTGAACAGAGTTTACCTCATACATTTCTGTATCACTATATATGTGAAGATTAAAAAATTAGAAAAGGCAGAAAAGCACAGGAAGTGAGGAAACTGTCTTACATTGAGTCAGATCATCAGTTCATCTAGTCCTATATTGTCAGCACTGGCTGGCAGCAGCCTCACAGGATTTCAGGTGAATTCCCCCACCCCTGGCCCTGCTCCTACTTGGAGGAGCTGAGGATTGAACATGGGGCATTCTAATCAGCATGCAAAACATACGCTCCACTACTCAGCTACAGCCCCTCTGCCTTGAGCATTAAACCATAAAACATAAAAAGTGGCAAAGAACAATTCAAAGGCAGAGGCTGCAATAATCAAGATGACTGACAGAATATGTGTTAGCCTGCAGCCTAAAAGATAACAGAGCTGGCACCAGGCAAACATCCTTAGGGAAGGCATCCCACCACTGTGGAAGCACAGCCCCAAAGACGCACTCACTGAAGCACACCTTCTTCTGGCAGAGGTAGTGGTTGTGGCAGGTGCTGGCTAAATATCCTAACATCCAGGCCAAGTTGCCATGGGAGGAGATGCTCCTTCTATGTACTCTGCACACAGAAATCCACTGCCACAGCCACCCTTCCAGGGCTCCTGGCAATGCATGAGCACTCCACCTGCTCTTCTTGACAACCAGTCACGATGACTCAGGCATTTCACTTGTTTAGAAATGGGCCCCTTTCTTGAGAATTCAGTTACTGCAATACATATATGCAGCAGTGGATGAAGGAGAGGGCACACACTGCATTCGGATAATGTAAAAGGAGCTCCTATGGACTGCAGAATGTACATCAGTACGACTACAGCCTTGATCACTGTGATTACTCGTACAAAGAATTCATAAGGCATGGCCTACAGCAGGGGTCCTCAAACTTTTTCAATAGGGGGCCAGTTGAAAGGTGCCGACGATGAGCGCAGGCCGCCAAGGCGGTGCAGGCGGGAGACATGGGCCGGGGCGGGAGCATGCGTGCGTGGAGAGGCAGGGGCAGGCACATGCAGAGATCCTTTTCTCTGAGCGAGTCCAAAACAATCTCCTTGTGAGCAAGCCGCCACACGGCGAGGCGCCAGCTTGCTTGCAAGGAGATTGGTTTGGACTCGTTCGGAGAAAAGGATCTCCTTGCGAGCAAGCTGCCGTCGGGCACACACACATCCAAAAGCAAGTCCAAAGCTATCTCTGCATGAGCCAGCCACTGCTTTGGGGCGCGCATGCACACCCAAAACCTCTATGGTAGGCGGGATAAATGGGCATGGTGGGCCGGATCCAGCCCGCAGGCCGTAGTTTGAGGACCCATGGCCAACAGGCACCTGATGCAAGAATTTCTCTGAAGGACCTGGATGGACGTGTGATATGGAAACTAAACATAGGCAAGTCTATTAACACATACCTTGTTCCCAAACAGTTCTATTTTATTGATACAAATATGATGGTGGAAAATTGGCACACTATGTAAGGGGTAACAATGGACTCTGCCACAGAATTGGCACATTGAAAGTAATGATTTGTTAAAGCATACACTTTTGTGGATAAGAGCCTATTTCATCAGGTACATGATGATTTCATAGGACTCCTTTTCATAGCTGAGGAATACTAAACATAGAACATGGGAATATTCAGTACGCTGAAGTTCGTCCCCTGATCAGGATAGTTTGAGGAAAGGAAACAAGTAGTTGCTTGTTAGCCAGTCACAGTGAGAGTGTCTGCAAAATATTTATGTGATTCTTTTAATGAAAATTCAGCCTGCTGCTAAATGGTCACGATACATTTTGCTTCACAAAGATAACATTCAGGGAAAAACAGGCTAGTTTTGAAAGCAGCAGAGTTTTAGGTGCCTCTCAGGCTCACCCAATTAGGTAAGGAACTGTCAGTACTGTTCTCCTAAGGGTAGAATTCTCTGTATACTTGTACAGATATTACTGGCTGGGGAATGCTGAGAGCTGCAGAACGTTTGCCGTCTAAACACACACAGGAACACACTTGATCAATCTGCTTCAGAGCAATCAAGCAGAGCTTAAAAATCTTGGAAAACATCGGCTTGCTCCTTAGAGATCGTTTTCTCTGAGTGCGTCCAAAACAATCTCCTCAAGAGCAAGCCGCTGCCTCCCCGTGTGGGGGGGGGGCAAGGTGGGAGGCGGTGGGTGCAAGTGATGTGTGGGTATGCACCCAGTGCGTTGAAAACCTTTTGAGGCAGGCAGGATAAATGACCTTGGCAGGCCAGCTCCGGCTCCCGGGCCATATTTTGAGGACCTGTACTCTAAAGCAAACACTTCAAGACAAAAGGCTATTTTAGTTGGGAGGGCAGAGTGATGTTTTTCAACAATGTTTTAATCACACCTTGGCCAAACAAAATTATGGGTCACGCTTTTTCCTATACCCATGCTTTCAAGGCCACTTAGATGGAAGATCACTGACAGCTAACATAGGGCATCCTTGGCATTCGTGCTGTGTCAATTCAATATCCGATAGAAATTTTTAGCAGCTGAATTCACAGCTTAGTTAAAAGCAATACTGACATGAATGAATTTCTGGCACATTTTCCAAGTCATGCTGTTTTATCTTGGATTAATTATTTTCAAATTATCATCAGCCATTGGCTGTTCTGTAAGAAAGAGATCACCACATGCATACAAATACACTGAACTGAAAATAAGGGGGGGAACCGATTGTGTGAAAAAACGGTGAGTATATTACTAAAGCATGTTAGAATGGAAGTTATCTGCGTTAAACAACCCCAATGGATTATATATACATTCTCGACCAATTTTGTCTAGTTGTGAATAGGTTTCATAGCCATTTCGATTTATACAAGTTGGAGGGTGGTGACAAAAGGATATAAAAGGGAAATAGAACTGGGGTAAAATCGTAACAGAAAGAAGCATCTATATACAAAATAAAACAGCCGGCGACTTCTACCTTTCCATTCTTAAATGGCAGAAAAATATCTGTATTAGTCTGTTGCAGCAAAACCCACAAAGAGCCTTTGTCAGTCACCTGAACGTTAAAATATTTTATTATGGTAATAGGGTTGGTGGGCAAAAGCCCACTTCTTTAGACACATAATACGTCTCTTAGCCTTCAAGGTGTCCCAAGACTCTTCGTTGTATTTTGCCAGGGATCTGAAACGGAAAAGCAGGAACCCACCCATAAAATAAGCGCAGCAGATACCGAGGAAAGGAAGGAGAACAAAAGAAGTTGGGAGATCTAGCCGACTCACCTGCCTGGCTAGGTAAAGATCACTAAGCGACTCAGGTGGTCTCCGGTGACAGAACCCGCAGATCTCGGCGGCGCTATTTCTGGTCCCGCTGCTGCTCGCGCGGCAGGTTTCAGAGCCGATCTCGGCAACAGCAGAGAGCACGGCGACACTGCGATTGCTGTCGTTTCCAGTTGCTTTGCAAATTCCTCAAAAAAGGGACTGCTTTAAAAGCAAGACGGCTCAAGCCTCGCCTCCTTCGGCTCATGAGAACAGTCTTCCTAGGGCCCTGCCCGTAGTCCCGCCTTTGCCAACCCCATCTCCCAATTGAGAGGATTGAGAGGAGAAGGGAGGAAACCTCTTCGCCAATGCGCGCTTCCCACGCAGGCTGGCGAGAGAAAGAGAGAGAGGGAGACTGAGGGAGGAAAGCAGGAAAGATTGGAAAGAGCTTCTAGGGTGGGGAGGAAGCGATCTGCCAGTGAACAGGAGGAGGAGAAATAAGGGGTGGAGGGGAAGGAACGTCATCATTTGCGTGTGCCACTCTGAGAGGGGTGTTTATATTTTGCAAGGTCAGTACCTCTGCGTGGGTATACCAGCCTTCTGCAACCTGGTGCTCTTCAGATGCCTTGAACTACGTCTCTCATCATTTTAATTTATTTGTAATCACAGTTATATCCCGCCCTTTTTACTTTTTGCAAGAAACCCCAGGCGGCTTGCATGGTCCTCCTACACTTCATTTTGTGCTCACAACAACCCTGTGAGGTAGGTGAAGTTCTCAGCGACTTGCTCAAAGTCATGCAAGAACATTCATGGCCAAGCGGGAATAAGAACCCGACGCTCCCCAGTCCGAGTCAAATACTTTTGACTATTACACCACTCTGGCCTTCCGCGCTGGGGCCGCAAGAGGGCACCCCATTTTATTGCTTCCGTCTTACGCGTTTTGTCTTCACCAAAAGTTACCGGGCCTCGCTGATTCCAAGAGTTAAGGGGCGGAGCCTGGTGATCATTCATGTTCAGTGGAGTGGAATAGGGCCTATGCATGGGTGGGCATGTCAACTTTGCTAGAAGAGAAGAAAACTCTAGCTAGTCTTGGTGTCTGCTGGTCACAGTTAGCAATCAGCAAAAATTCTCAAAGCATAAAATATCAACAACAGCAACAATTCCCCCTTGATTCTGACTCCTCAGAATTTTGTCTTCTTTCCTGAGAAAAAGACTGAGATACTGCTCTCTCAGATTATGATTATCCTCTAGCTAGTTGGGTACTAGAACCATAGCCTCCCAATTTTCCGTAAAATTTTGGTCCCACTAGAGCAGGGTCTCCCAACCTGTTTCCTTGCAGATGTTTTGGATTACACCTCACATAATCAGTCCCAGCCAAACGGCGAATTGAATGGAGTTGATGGGAATTGTAGTTCAAAGCATCTAGAGGTTGGAAAAGGATACTCTGTTAAGGCAATGTTGGAATGTGGAGATCTAACTTTATACTTGTAAGACAACCATCAATTTAATGATGAAAAGTTAAGGAAATAGTAAAATCTTGTTAAAGGGTCAGCTGGTCTAATATTTATGAATGAGAAAAGATGGCTGAAGGTGATAGGACCTCGCCCAAGGCCACCCACTGAGGCATAGCTGTGGTGGCATTTGAACTCTGGCAATCTGGCATGCTGTCACTGGGCAAACAGCCGACGTCTGCTGTGGGGAATTGGCCAGATAAACATTTGTGCAAACAATGCTAAGAACTTTAACTGAATTTGTGGTGTTTGAAGATCAAACCGAAGTGCTATATGGATCAGTATGTGCACTTATGTCTACATAGCTGTCTTTTCTTTATATCTGATTGCATTAAGATTGTTCAAAATCCATATGCTGTGGATTAAAATGTAGTATGCCTTGAGAAAATGCCTTATCTACACTAATGGAGAATTATGGCAACTGCAGTTATGTCTTGGATGAATTAGACAAGCATGTTTTTTGCAAATACTCAGAATGTAAAGGCACACTTATGAGTCCATAGAGACTGAGTAATTTTCTGTATACTTGGCTTGTGTAACATGTGAAATAGAACTAATTTCCACAGATTAATGTTCTGAAAGCTGCTGAAGCATCCTTTTTCAAATATCACTTTGGACACAAGTTCATTGCCTTGGGCAAAGCCATTATTTTCTCAAACTGATTCGCAATATCAGGATGATACTAACCCAACTAAGCAGAGTTGAAATTGTCATCATTGGCATAGGAGACCTTTTCCTCATTTGGGGTCCCTGCCAAATGTCTCATTTTAATACTTCTAAAGTTTGCCCTGCCCTGTTCTCTCATGCCTGCTGGCCTCTGTTTTTGAGGCCTTGTAGAGAATGAGTGAAGTTCCAGAGGACTGGAAGGTGGTGTCAGTGGTTCCAATTTTCAAAAAGGGTAGTAGAAGGGACATGGGAAATTACAGACCAGTTAGCTTTACGTCCATTGTAGGAAAAACAATGGAAAGATAGCGAGAGATCTAGTGATGCTAGATCGGGAAGGGAGGCTGGCGGCCACACAACATGGCTTCCACAAAAACAGGTCCTGCCAGACAAACCTTGTGGAATTCTGACAAGGTTTCAAGATGGCTATATAGAGGGGACACAGTGGATATGGTTTACTTGGATTTCAGCAAGGCCTTTGACAAAGTGCCCCATGATATCCTGGTTGAGAAATTGAGGAGTTTTGGGATAGACCAATGCACTGTCTGATGGATTAGGGCATGGTTGACTGACCAAAAGCAGAGGGTAACCATTAGTGGAGAATCATTGGGATGGTGGCCAGTGACAAGCGGGGTCCCCCAGGGCTCTGTCCTGGGGCCAATCCTGTTTAATCTTTTCATCAACGACATGGAAGAGGGGGCGAACAGTCTGCTGATCAAATTCACAGACGATACTAAAACGGGGGCAGTGGCCACAACTGAGGAGCAGGTACTCCAGATCCAAAAGGATCTGGACAGACTATGGAAGTGGGCAGGAGACAACAGGATGGCGTTCAATGTGGATAAGTGCAAGGTCTTGCACTTGGGGCATAGGAATGGGTGTCATAAGTACAGGTTAGGTGACAAGTGGCTGGAGAGCAGCACTTGTGAAAGGGATCTCGGGGTGCTGGTTGACTGCAGGCTAAACATGAGTCAGCAGTGTGATGCGGTGGTCAAGAGGGCGAATGCCACCCTTGGTTGCATAGCCAGAAGTGTGGCTTCTAGATCAAGAGAGGTATTATTACCACTCTATACGACTCTGGTGCGCCCGCAACTGGAGTATTGTGTTCAGTTCTGGACCCCTCATTACAGGAAGGATATAACCAGGTTAGAGTCAGTGCAGCGTAGGGCCACAAGGTTGGTGGCCGGTTTGCAGGGGATGCCATATGAAGCGAGACTGAGGGAACTGGGTCTTTTCAGGCTGGAGGAGACTCCAAGGGGAACTGTTGGGAACGTATAGGTATGTGAAGGGGTGACACACGGAGGTCGGTAGAGACCTGTTCTCCCCTGCAAAGGAGGTCAGGACATACTCCAAGGGAGCAAAGCTCAGGGAAGCAAGGTTCAATTTGGATGCCAGGAAGTACTTCCTGACAGTTAGGATCCCAAGCGTATGGAATGGGCTTAGGTCCCATCGGTGAGGGGGTATCCATGTTGTAAGCAGAACTGGCTAGAGCCAGGGGTCAGACTAGATGGCCTGGGTGGACCCTTCGCATTTACTCTGTTTCTATGTCTTTAGCACAAATATCTATACAGTATACACCAATTCATGTGTGCAAACATTTGTACCACAATTATGTTACATAATTGAACACTGATGGAACAGCAGTAACTATTCCTAGACTGAAATATTTAAAAGCAGTTTGAACGTTGGGAAGGAATTTTGAGTATCACACGCATTCTTCCTTCAGTTGACCTGGTCCACACAATTATTATTATTATTACATTTCTATGCCGCCCCTTGCCGAAGCCTCGGGGCGGCTTACAATCACCAAGGGTTAAACAAGCTACAGCATGTGCTGGGCTTCAGTTGCTTAATAACTTGCCTGCAAGCAGCTTATTGTGTGATCTGAACCTTGGGCAGTATGGCTAGTTGGAGGGGGAAAGAACCTTCAAATAATCCAGCAACCCATGGGCTTTTTGAAGGCTGTTTCTCAATGCTTAGTAGGATCCTCCTTCATGTGATACTTGTGCTGTTGATGCCACTGTAGGCTCGTATGCTGAGGTGCTACAAGGCACTGGATACTACAGTACACCTGTACAGTTTCATTACAAACAAGCAAGTATTACCTTCATTGACGGAACTGTGCATATGTTCTGGGACACAGAGACTTAATTTGCCAGAATACATGCAAGCATAAGGTGGCAATTTTGCTTACCATATCTATAAAGCAGCAACACATTTTAAGGTACTCAAGTTTGTATTAATTTGATTGATATTCAGTCCGGATCGCCAGGTGTGCTTCCCTTTCTTTGGGAGCTTGTTCTCATCGGGAAGTTAAACTTGTGTCTGAATTGTACCACTTTAAGCTGCGAGTGGCAGCTCACACCAGGATGGGCAGGAGTGTGCGCAAATAGTAGGATATCCTTCCATGTCTACGGCCAGATGTCAGAGTGAAGGACTCCAGCTTAGCCTTCTCCACGACGTAGCTGCTCATCGTACGGAGGAACATTCACGCATCTTCGCCCTCGCAGGTAAACAGCAGACCCACGTTTACCCCTCAGTCAGACCTGGGCTCCTGTCTGTCCGTGCGCACTGCCGTAGCAATGCGTGATTCACCGTGAAGAACGCGACCGCCTGGGGCGGAAGTGAAAGCCGGGGTGGATGATCGCGGCGCTCGTTGGGAGATGCCTGCGTGCGCCTGCAGCCTCCGGTCCTCGCGCTCCGCTTCTCCGGCGTCGCCTGCGTTGCCTGTGGAGGACCAGAGGCGCGCGGCTCCTCCCTCTACCGGTTGCCTGCCCCGAGCAGCCACAGGAAGAGGCGGTGGCGAAGGAAGCGCGCCCAAGCCGAGTCAGGGGCTTCTTTTGCCGGTCATCCAGGCTTCAGCCGCCCGCCCCTCCTCCCCGCATCTTGCTCTCGCCAGGAGGGGGAATCGTAGCCTGCCGCGGAGCAGGTAGGGCAAGAGGGGGCGGGTCTCTCTGGGTCTGGGATGCAGCCGGGACGGGGGATCGTGTCGGGCGGGTAAGCACATGAATGCTAATTTTCCTTCTTGGCAAACCCACCTCGGGTCATCTGGTATGGGGATGAAGCTGGGAAATGTTTTAGGCAATAATTCTAAATTTGCAGATTGATGTCCCCTTCTAAATCCCACTGAGCTCAGTGGGGCAAAACTTATACGTACACCGTTGAGCTGTAGACTACAGTCCATTGGGTTATAATTGTCTACAGTGCTTGAAAAAAAATATTTAACTGGCTTATATTCCCTTGTTTTGTTTACCTGGTGTACTACTGGGTGTGGCTTGGGTGTCAGCTTTGGAGATTTGGGGTGGTTCGGCACTCGAGTGCTTTAATTCTCAGTCACAGAAGTGAGTACACCCCTCACATTTTGTAAATATTTTATTATATTTTTTCATGTGGCAACCCTGAAGAAATGACACTTTGATACAATGTAAAGTAGTGAGTATACAGCTTGTATAACAGTGTAAATTTGCTGTCCCCTCAAAATAGCTCAAAATAACTCAATTAGCCATTAATGTCTAAACCACTGGCAACAAAAGTGAGTACACGCCTAAGTGAAACTGTCCAAATGGGGCATTATTAGCCATTTTCCCTCCCTGGTGTCATGTGACTCGTTAGTGTTACAAGGTCTCAGGTGTGAATGGAGAGCAGGTGTGTTAAATTTGGTGTTATCACTCTCACTCTCTCATACTGGTCACTGGAAGTTCAACATGGCACCTCATGGCAAAGAACTCTCTGAGGATCTGAAAAAAAGAATTGTTGCACTACCTAAAGATGGCCTAGGCTATAAGAAGATTGCCAAGACCCTGAAATTGAGCTGCAGCACAGTGGCCAAGACCATACAGCGGTCTAACAGGACAGGTTCCACTTGGAACAGGTCTCACCATGGTTGACCAAAGAAGTTGAGTGCACATGCTCAGCGTCATATCCAGAGGCTGGCTTTGGGAAATAGATGTATGAGTGCTGCCAGCATTGCTGCAGAGGTTGAAGGGGTGGTGGGTCAGCCTGTCAGTGCTCAGACCATACGCCACACACTGCATCAAATTGGTCTGCAGGGCTGTCGTCCCAAAAGAAAACCTTTTCTAAAGATGATGCACAAGAAAGTCCGCAAACAGTTTGCTGAAGACAAGCAGACTAAGGACATGGATTAGTGGAACCATGTCCTGTGGTCTGATGAGACCAAGATAAACTTAGTTCAGATGGTGTCCAGCGTGTGTGGCGACAACCAGGTGAGGAGTACAAAGACAAGTGTGTCTTGCCTACAGTCAAACATGGTGGTGGGAGTGTCATGGTCTGGGGCTGCATGAGTGCTGCCGGCACTGGGAAGCTACAGTTCATTGAGGGAACCATGAATGCCAACATGTACTGTGACATATTGAAGCAGAGGATGATCCCCTCCCTTTGGAGACTGGGCAGTAGGGCAGTATTCCAACATGATAACAACCCCAAACGCACCTCCAAGACGACCACTGCCTTGCTAAAGAAGCTGAAGGTAAAGGTGATGGACTGGCCAAGCATGTCTCCAGACCTAAACCCTATTGAGCATCTGTGGGGCATCCTGAAACAGAAGGTGGAGGAGCGCAAGGTCTCTAACATCCACCAGCTCCGTGATGTTGTCATGGAGGAGTGGAAGAGGACTCCAGTGGCAACCTGTGAAGCCCTGGTGAACTCCATGCCCAAGAGGGTTAAGGCAGTGCTGGAAAATAATGGTGGCCACACAAAAGATAGACACTTTGGGCCCAGTTTGGACAGTTTCGCTCAGGGGTGTACTCACTTTTGTTGCCAGCGGATTAAACATTAATGGCTGTGTGTTGAGTTATTTTGAGGGGACAGCAAATTTACACTGTTATACAAGCTGTATACTCACTACTTTACATTGTAGCAAAGTGTCATTTCTTCAGGGTTGTCACATGAAAAGATATAATAAAATATAAAATATATAATGTGAGTGGTGTACTCACTTCTGTGATATACTGTACATGTGACCCCTCTTATATTCTGTAACTATACATATCGCTGTTATGTTGTCAAAGTGCAAAAGGCAAGGATTGTAAAACACTCTTGTGTTGAAGTGAGCAGGTGCAAAGGAGAGGAATGCTGTACTTTTAGAAGATGCTTAATTGAAAGAACTTTTGGTAGTCATGGGAGTTGATCCGTTTATGTGACAAGCTGCACCTGTTGCTGTTCCCTTTCACCAGGAGCAGGTAGAAGGTAGATCACCATTTACTTAGGGCTTCAGCTTGCAGAAATTCCTGTTCATATGGCCAATAGTCAAATACTGGGAGATGAATTTCAAAGCCCACTTTGGGCTTCAGCATATTACCTTCTCAAGGCATTATTGACCAGATGTGTATGGTCATGAGGGAAAAGGAACCACAGTTGCTCCTCTGCCACCCCCGTATGCTGGTTGCATGCTGCATGGTTTCCCTAATTGCTTTTATAGCACATAACTTCCCATGTCATCTGAACCCGTGACTTGTTGTAGGGTTCTGGGGTGCTTTGAAACCACTCTTCACGATGCACCTTGCTAGATTTGGATGAAATGGGAATCTGTGCACAGTGAAGGAAATTAGGAAAATCACACAGCAAGTGAGTGGCATTCAGTGTTCTTGTGTGGAATTTGTGCTTTAAAATTGGGGATAAGCAGTATCTGACTGCAGTGCTAGAGGTCAACATATTGACACAGTTTTGGATTATTTAATTTATTAAAACATTTAAAAGACAGTAACTGGTTTTAAGGTGCAGTGCTAGAGCAGTCTTATTTAGTGGGTCTTTGCTAATTTGGAACAAAAATGACTATTACTATTACTGCTTTGAGCTTTCTAGGCAAACATTAAATGCTCATGACATTTGTACATTTGACAGTTTTATTTCATGGATGAGATATGTGTTGGATGGAGCAGTTTAACTTCCAATGACAGGGAAAGGGCTGGGAGCTTTTTTCTGTCTAGACATGCATTGGATTTTTCTTTACAGTTGTTAGGATTGTGGTAAAAGTGACTCTTTCTCTGCTCTGCCTGCCCTTCGGAATCTTACGTGGGCTCATGTAAGCAAGAGGGAGGGATCACTTTGGAACATGAGCTCAAAATTTTCTTTTCCTTTTGAATAAGAAACTTTATCTGGCAAAGATCCTGAAGTTTGAGCCTTCTACATTTTTATCCTTTAGTTGTTTTCCCAAGAAATATCTTTATATTGGTAGTTAAACTTAGCTCAAAGCAATGGCTAGATAAATTAGGAAGCATACTATAGTGTACCTCCCTACATTACTATGACTGGGTGAGCGATCTCTGTGCAACATAGTAGCATACTTCAGTGAAGAAGAAAAATCCCTAAAATGAAATCTTCTTACACTTTGTTCCAGAACCCCATCTAGAACCCCATCTGAAATGCTAAAATATTTGGCCAGTAACATCAGTGTTCCAACTTCCACTTATGAATATACCATTTTGACTACTTGGATAATTTTCTACAAATTATATCATATTAAAAATCCAGCAGGCATTTTGAGTCAATGTCTCCATTAATATTTCTGTTAATCCATTTTTGAAGTGGGCTTAAATTGACTCATGTTGAAGTAAAAACTAGAAATGGGATCATTTTCTCTTTCCTACTTCTCTCCAAAAGCACACACTTTTCAATCTCAATATGGAGAGCATTTCACCGCTGCCTTAGTATTCTGTCTAGTTAAGAGAAACCTACCTGAAAACATCCTCACAATCTCAATTATATTATGCATTGTATTTTGAATGAGTAATATTTGAATGATTAAACAATTAAGATGAGAAGATTAAATGGAAACCTAGGACAGTAGAAGTGCTGCTGGTCCACCATTCTTTGTTTTGCACCTGCGGGCACAACTGGATTCAGTGCTTCCTAATAAAAACCTGGGAAGTGAACTTTCTGCTTCTTTCTGGAATGGAACCAGTCCTCAGAGTTCCCTTCTGCAATGAGCACCATAATTATGCTACTCTGAGATTCAGTTCAAATGACTCGAAAAAAGGGAGGCATGAAACCAGTGTAATAAGGAGCCTTGTTAACTGTTTGTTTGTTTGTTTTTTAAGTGGTATTTGCTGAAACCCCATCCACATAAATTTTAATGGTAGAGGAGGCTGTTTTTCTATCTCTTTGCTGCTGTTGTCTCATACATGAATTCAGGGAGGAAGTAGATCCATACTTTAAAAAAAACTGACTTAAAAATACAGTACAATATATTGTAATACAAAAATACACTGGTAACAACAAAACTTAAAAAGGAAAAAGTGTACCCCTACACCGGACCTTTGGCTACATGATAATTATTTATTCATTTCTATATATATCCTCCTTCTCTTTTCTTCGTCTTCTGTGCTTCCTTTCCCTCAGAACTATCCCTTTTCCATCCAAAATTGCATTTAATCATCTCTTCTAATATACAGGAAGTCCAAAGGTTACAAATGAGCTCTGTTCCTGAGAAAATGGAAATTCATCTTTAAGTTGAATTTGTATGTTAGTTGAATCATATATAGTCAACCTTTCACATTTGCAGGGGCTGGGGCACAGCACCCCATGAAAGTGGGAACATTGTGAATATCTCTACCCCCCCACCCCAAATCATCAGTGCATCCTCTTTGCAGCAAGGAAATGCCAAAGAGATTTCCTTCTCTGGATGGGTGGGGCAGGAAGGCCTGATTTGGAGGTCTGCCTCTCTCTCCTTAAACTTTTTCTCTCTCTATGGCGATGCTTTGGAGGCCTTCCCTCATTTCTTTCATTCCTCCCATGGTGATATGATTTCCTGCAGCAGGCCTTTAACTGAAATTTTAAAAACATTTATAATTTTGATTTTATGCCATTGCAAAAGCCCATATCTGGGTCTTCTGTGCAGCTTACAATACAAAATTAATAGGCTTTATGGCAGTTCATTTGGAAGTATAGGTTATTCATCAGGTGTTCATAACTCAGGCAGTATCTGTAACTTGTTTAATGATATTAGGGTTATCGGGCCCACTTGCTAATCTCTTTTGTTT